CTAATCGATGTTTCTAACTCTTTATACCTCTCTCTACCTCTCTGGAAAAAATCAATAAAATATATTAAAAAAAAAAAAAAGAAAAGAACCAGGAGTCCTTGAAGAGTCAAGGGAGAGTGAATGTGGCAGACCCTCATGCAGGGGTCCTCAAACTACGGCCCGCGGGCCACATGCAAATACAAATATTGTATTTGTTCCCGTTTTGTTTTTTTACTTCAAAATAATGTATGTGCAGTGTGCATAGGAATTTGTTCATAGTTTTTTTTTAAACTATAGTCAGGCCCTCCAACGGTCTGAGGGACAGTGAACTGGCCCCCTGTTTAAAAAGTTTGAGGACCCCTGCCCTCATGGATCGTATCTTACTCTGGGCAGGGCCAGGTGGCTGAGCTGGCTTGATCTCAGGCAGAGCTGGGCGCTTAGCATCAGTGAGAAAGTTGTTAAAAAATGCTACCTCCTTCTTCACTTCCTCAATTTTCTCCGAATGCTTATTGAAGATATGTTTGCGTACAAACTCAGGTCCCTGGATGCAGAGGAAAGAGTCACAACTGAACAAGCAGTTCCCTAACTCCCCAGACCCCACAATAATCACCCTTCCCTCCCACCTATCCCATAACTAATATCCCAGACCTTGAATTTCTTGCCACTGAGAGGGCACAGCCACTTATCCTTGCCCAGTTCCTGGGTGTTAGAGGTGACAAACTTTTCCACTTCCTGCTCAGGGTCTTTGCGACCCATCTTCTGGGCCTCTTCCTCTGAAAGAGATTCCCGCACACTCAGCAGTGGAGCCAGCTTCTCCTCAAACGTCTTCTGCCACTCTAGAACTGTGGTTTGGGAACAAAGGCAGACAGCAGGTTGAAAAGGAAGCCAGAGCAAGGAATAAGCAAGGAGGGGATTAGAGGAGAAGGTGACAGAGCAGAACTAAAACCAGCTAGGGAGAAAGGGGCACTAGAGGAGACTCAGGTGGGGAGCTCACCTTCTCCATGACTGATGCGGTTGGGTGGCATGGGTCCCCGAACATGGATAATGCCACAACGGTTGGGCATTTCATCTTCATTGGGGTACTCGCATGTGTTATAATAATCCAGGGAATGCACAATGCGCAAATAGAGGAGTAGTTTGTCCAAAACCTAAGGGAAATGAAAAGCCATGAGTTCACCACACTAGCCCTGTATCACCCCAAGTCAGGTTCTCATCCCACTCTGCTCTCACTGGCACCTTGATCAGCTTCTCATCTCGTTCCACGTTGATCTCCGCTGGGTTTCCTTCCTTAGGAGGCTCCTCAGGTGGGGCCCCGCCACTACTCCCCAGCAGCTCTTCCTCCTCAGCACTCACTTCCTCAATCAGGTAGTCAGTGATATTCTTCAAGATTGGGTTCTGAGAGGGGAGGCTCTAGTTGGGAGGGAGAAGAAAAGCAAGTGAGGCAGAGAAAGCCCCTTAGGGTAGGTAGCCTAGGAAACTAATTTGAAAGGCAAGGTGAGGCTGAAAGAATTCAAGGCTCACTTGGCCTGTTACCGCTGCCTCAGGATTTGTCTTCATGTTTGTATTTATTCTACACATTAGCCCACAAATAATCACTAACACCAATCTGTTCTCCTGGAAGACCAGAGATGCCCACAGATGAGGGGGTATTGGCTGCTTTTGAAAAAGTTCTATGGAGAGTCACTGACTGTTGGCAGAGGAGGTGTCCCCGGCTCAGAGGCCCAGAGCTGGGTCCTGTCGTCCAACGTATGGATCAGCTTGGCTGCCAGCTTGATGTCATTGCGCACTATCTGCTTGTGTTGAGTAATGCCATTGATATTGCGGACGCGACGGGTCAGGTCTCTGTTCACACCAGGACTGAGCTCACACTCCCGGAGCTGGGAAGAACAGAAAGCTTACCAACACTTGCCCAAGAAGCAGCAACTCAAAAGACTGGCCCTATTGAGAGCACCAGTGATTAGACTATGTGTTCCCTGAGGACAGGGATCAGGTGTGTTAACCAAAACAGTCCCAGAGCCTAGCCCAGAGACAACAGTACAGAATTAATGTAAGCAGACTAAACAGATGAAATAGGGGACAGAATGAAAGAATAGGAGGCAGAATGAAAGAAGCCATCAATGAACAAAGCACTTGGAGGTGTGCATAGAGAGCCGCACTTCTTCCTCAAAACAGTCCTGCTCCCAGTACTCACTCGGATATTCTGCAGATTCCAACAGATCTCTTTGATGTTAACACTGCGATCAAATGTCACCCAGCCACGACGGAAAAACCTAAACAAGAACAAAGATGTCAACATAATCCTGGGGTGAAGGTGATGTTGGCTATTAACTCCCCCTGCACCTTTTCTCCAAGGTATCCAGGGTCACACTTCTCTCCATCCCTCACCTCCTCTCAGGCTGGGGCTCCGATAATGCCACACGCATAAAGCCTGGATATCTTTTACAAAGCTGGAAAAGCAGAGGAACAGAAACCCCATTAGTAATTTAAGGATTCACATCTTCCTTCAATCCCCCCATCCTCAGGACCCTAGGGAACTGCCTTTAGTCTTTACTCGGACAAGGAAAAAAACAACAAGGGCTTCAGAGTAACAGCATTTAAAAGCAAATGGTGCAACCAGGACCAGCCCTGGAAAGGCATGGGCCCTGGAAAGACATGGGCCCATAAGGAGCCTCCCTGTTACAGAAGTAGGGATGTATGTCAGAAGCAGTGTCAGATTATCTTCTCCCCACCTAGTGTACCGCCCCCAGCTCCCAAATTCTTCCTCCACCTGACCTTGGGCAAAACATGGAGCCTGGGTCTTGTCCCTGCCCCCAATGCCATTTTCCCCACTCACAGAAATGATCTCAGCCCGGGAAATGTTAGGTGCGATATTGCGCATAAAGAGAGAGCAAGTCTTATGCAGAGGCCGGGGTTTACATTCCAGCCCAGGAGCATCCTTGGGCTTCTCCCTTTCTTCTTCCTTGGGCTTCTCCTTTTCCTTGAGTGCTTCTTCTATGCAGGAAATGGCGGGAGTTGATTAGTTTTTATTATTGATTTTGGAGGAGATAGAAAAGCTGTCAAACTCCCATCCCACCTCCCCCACGCCCTTCTCTCCCAAAAAGCCACCCTCCCATCAATTTCACCGTCTCACCTCCCCCACCATTCATAGAAAGAGAATGGACTAGGAGGAAATAAAACCTACCGGCCTCCTCCTTCTCCTCCTCAGCTTGGCCACTCTCTGACTCTGACTCTGACTCCGACACACTGCCTTCGTCAAAGCTGTCATCACCACTGTGCTTCCTATTCCGCTTCTTGCTACCCTGTGGGAGCCACAGCAAGAGGGGATGAGCCAGACTACCAGGACCCCAGTCCAGACACTGACCACATGCAAGAGATCCTCTACCTTTTTGGCTTCTTTTTCAGAGTCTTCTTTCTTCTCTTCCTTGTCCCCATCACCCTCAGATTTCTTAGTTTTGTCATCACTAGAACTGCCATTTTCAACCTACAGGTAGAGACAGTCATGAGAATGCCCATTTCCCCAACAACCTTTATCAGAGGACCCCTCCCACCCTCAACAACTGAGCCCAGAAGTTCACCTGTCCCCCACCCAATACACAGCCCTCTAGCTCTAGCTCCCAGCACAACCGAAACAGTTCCGTTCCCCTGGCACCGTTCCACAGGCAGCACCCAGAGACCCCAGCACTCAGACCTGTTTGCCATCTTCTTTCTTGTCTTCCTTCTCATTGGCCTTCCGCTCTCCATCCACCAGGCCTGGTCCAGCCCGCCCTTCCTCTTTCTTGCTGGGCTCCCCAGGCTTTCCTGCCTGCTCCTCCTCCTCCTCCTGCTCCAGGATGCGTAGATCATTCTCTGTACCTCCTTCCATCTTAATCACAGCTACCAACAAAGGGAACAGAAGTCACAATCCAATGGTACTAGCTTTCATCCTCTGGCTTTCTGTCAACCTGCTTCTATTTCCCAACCAAGACCTTGGTCACCAGACATCCACTG